GTTGATATTCGTATGAAACCGATAAGAAATGTTTTACGGCAAAAACTGTTTTCTAGGCTCTGTTCGGAAGGCAGATCAAAAAACAAAACGGTCGTTATATATTGGAAAAGTATCAGAAGTATTTGATTGTTTTTTTGGTATGTTTCGACCCACCTCGAAAAAGATATCAATTTGATATCTTTTGCCAGCAAACACGAAGCAAACATTACAATAAGAGAACACAAAACAAAATAAAATATTTTAATAATGAAGACAAATAGAATCTAATTTTTATATATATAAAACAAATATTGCTTTCAAAACAGTTTGTCTTCACGGTGGTCGGCACGGGTGGCGTCGCCATCTGCTGCTGCTGATAGTCAGACACAATACCTTGCCAATAAAATATTGGGGAGCCCAGGATATGCCTGGGGAAGAGCGGCCCCAGCCGAAGAAGTACATTTTGTTAACTTTAAACAAAACCAAGCAGCGGTCTGAGCAGTGTAACCGTACGGAATGCAGGGCTCACCTCTGGTCACACCACTGGTCGCTAGAAGAATATATGACATTTGCTAGCAAACAGTTTATGGATCTAAGTAATAGGCTTCATTCTACAAGAAAAAACGGAAATAGCTGATGGACTGAGTGTTGTTGTTTTTCCCATTTTCCTGTCGGTCATTGTTGATCGATAAAATACCGCAAATAAATGTGCGTGAACAAAATAAAACATATGGAAAAATCGTACGTTCACGACAGGTACTTAATTTAATTTTTTTTAAACCATTAGAGATAATTTTATGTGAATGCTCAATTGAAAGCTATATAAATCCTCTTTCAAAGTCAATTTATCTCTTTAGAATATATCATTCCAATTCGCAGATTTTTTAATTTTACTAGATTAATTCAAAGTCGACATATATTTTTCATAAGTTCTCGACCGCATGTTTTTTGCAATTATTATTAGAACTAAACCAAGATTAGCCCCACCATTTGCACTAAGCATAGAGCTAACAAAATGCTGTGGAAACGAATAAAAAATTCTGGAAAGTTTTTGTTTTCTATCTTTTTTTCTTGCATATATTTATTTATATGAATATTATGTATGCACATAATTTTATTGTAATAAAAAGTTCTCTGAAATATATAACTTTTTTGACAAAGTTGCACAAAGTCGAAAGCCGACGGCATTTGCACAATATGTAATTTAGAAAATAACATGAGCCGACTGTCACGTCATGAGCCGAACGCGGTCAATCCCCGAGCCGAACGCAGTCGGTCCCAGAACCGAAGACCTGGGACCGTACGCTGAAACTTCAGCTGCGCCACTTTCGTTATATGAACTGGCACATCTATATACCAAAGACAATATAAGTATAAGCACTAACCAAAGACAATATAAGTATAAGATGCGTAACGCCATACGAAATTTCTGCACACGAATTTTCGGGGCTGGCTCTAGAGCTGGCTCCAGGCTCTCTTGAAATTTTTTAGAGAGAGAGAGCGCTCTAGAGCCAGCCGCTCTCTTGTATGCATACAGCATACGAAGGCACACGAAGTTGGTTCTTTGCCGATGCGACAGCCGAGACGAGTCGTCGCGACGACTGTATGTGTGCACATGCATACGTTTTTTACAGCGCTGTCGAAATATACCCTTCACTTTATAAGTGTAAGTTAATTTTGCAGGACGCTTACCCCACCCCAATATTAAAAAACTCATATATGTATTATATGTATATATCCCTCCAATGATAATTTCTTTTCAGATGGTATATTCGATAATAATGATCGGATATACATATATAAAAATACATAATATATTTAATACATGAAATTCCATGAATCACATTGGAATAATTGCCATTAGGGTATTCAGGATGCGACGTATTCAACGCCGGTATATAATTTCGTTTCTCAACTCGTAAAAAGGTTTCCGTCTCGAAAATCGTCCGCTTAGCACAAGTACGCACACATACGTACTTGCTGTTCTGTGTGTACTTACACATGCAAGCGGATTCTATTTTTAGATTCGCACGCTCTCAAATTTGTGCGAGCGAGATGGCGCGAATTTCGTCGCTGGCCGCAAAATTGTCTTGCATATGGCAATTGAAATGTATGAGCGTTACGCATCTTATACTTATATTGTCTTTGCACTAACCATACAGTATATAGATGTGCCAGTTCATACATCGAAAGGGGCGTAAGCTGAGTGTTCTGTCCCGGCTCCCAGCGCTTCGGCTCTGTGAGGCTGAGACACTCGGGTCGGGAGCCAGGCCATTCGGGTCGGGAGCTGGGCCGTTCGGCATGTATGACTCATGTCGGGAAGCGAAAGCAAGCTGAGAATTGCAAATGTATGTGTGTAAACCAGGGCTCGGCACGGCTCTATCCCATGGGTGCGGGACAAGGCGCTGCTGCTGCGCTGCCGGTACACCGACAGTATAAAAAAGCAGCGGCGCTTCGTATGGCTTCGGCAATGCGACTTCGGCACTTGTTGTCTCGTTTTCACACCAGATACAGAACGAAAATGGCATCAGTTGCTGATCAGCCGTCATCAATGTGAGACCACGCTACGCAACTACTGAAATATACACTGAGACAAAAAATGTTCGATGGGAATTGGGAAAACAAATTTTTATTATTATTATTATTATTATTATTTTTGTATTATTATTTTATTATTATTTTGTTATGGTTTTGTTATTATTTTATTATTATTTTATTTACGTTTTCTTTTTTATAATTTTACTCAATTTTTTGTATTATTTTGCTTTAAACTTTTGTTTTCCTTGAAAGTTTCAACACGAAATAATTGCAGCATCAACCACAAATAGATTCGTGCAGTGTAAAGCAAGAAACCGGTTTCGGCGTAGGCATCTTCGTGTTTTAGCTACGCACACAAGCGCACTTCACTGTATGGGTGCCGAGCCCTGGTGTAAACATGTCTGCAGACACGACAAAATTTTGTATCAATTCTTATTTTCCGAAACCGTTTTGAGTTTCGTTTCCAGGTTACGTAAATGTGTGTGTGCCATGTATTCACACATACTGTGCTTGTGTGTGGGCTCTACAATTGTTGGCCGCTTGAATTGGTTGTTCGTTTTGTTTTGAGGGCTGATGTGATGTTTCGACCTATTCAGGGCCGGATCAACCCTCAACCGGGCCCTGGGCAACCATCAATCTGGGGCCCTCCATTTTTTCACGCCAGTTCCTTCTTTTTTCATTTGAAATAAAAACTTATAAATTTAATGTTTGCTTTATTAATTTGTATTTTTATCAGTGGCTATTATATTTTTTATTCATTATTTGGAGTTTTGTTTTTTCGACAACATTTTTCTGTTATTTCTAGGAGGGCCCTAGGCAACTGCTAATCCGGCCTTGGACCTATTCCCGTCGTAAGACTTCATATTTTCTTGGTGTGTATGTATGTATGTCATTTGCAATTCTCAGCTTGCTTTCGCTTCCCGACATGAGTCATACATGCCGAACGGCCCAGCTCCCGACCCGAATGGCCTGGCTCCCGACCCGAGTGTCTCAGCCTCACAGAGCCGAAGCGCTGGGAGCCGGGACAGAACACTCAGCTTGCGCCCCTTTCGATGTATGAACTGGCACATCTATATACTGTATGGTTAGTGGTATAAGATACATAACGCCATACGAAATTTTTGCACACGAATTTTGAATGCTGGCTCTAGAGCTGGCTCCAGGCTCTCTTGAATTTTTTGGAGAGAGAGCGATCTAGAGCCAGCCGCTCTCTTGTATGCATACAGCATGCGAAGGCACACGAAGTTAGTTCTTTGCCGATGCGACAGCCGAGCCGAGTCGTCGCGACGACTGTATGTGTGCACATGCATACATTTTTTACAGCGCTGTCGAATATACCCTTCACTTTATAAGTGTAAGTTAATTTTGCAGGACGCTTACCACCCCAATATTAAAAAACTCATATATGTATTATATGTATATATCCCTCCAATGATAATTTCTTTTCAGATGGTATATTCGATAATAATGATCGGATATACATAAAAAAATACATATGTAATATATATTTAATACATGACTTCACATTGGAATAATTTTCATTAGGGTATTTAGCATGCAACGTATTCAAACCCGGTAAATAATTTCGTTTCTCAACTCATAAAAAGGTTTCCGTCTCGAAAATCGTCCGCTTAGCACAAGTACGCACACATACGCACTTGCTGGTTCTGTGTGTACTCACACATGCAAGCGGATTCTATTTTTAGATTCGTACGCTCTCAAATTTGTGCGAGCGAGATGGCGCGAATTTCGTCGCTGGCCGAAAAATTGTCTTGCATATGGCAATTGAAATGTATGAGCGTTACGCATCTTATACTTATATTGTCTTTGTATATACTGTATGGTTAGTGTCCCTGCTCAACTGAACGGCCAGCTTGACGCATATAGTTTTCTCGCTCTGACTGCAGGCATTTCCCAAAGGGCCATATTTATTTTTGCAGCTAGTCAGTTAGCAAAGTCTAATGTCATATGGCTATTAGCAAAGTCTATATATAACACTTTCTGGGGACGGACAATTTTTCGCTTCTGAGTGGTAGGCTTCAACAAAAATTTCCAGGGAGTGAAAATACTGCGGACGTCATCCTACGAAAATACTAAAAAGATTTAATTCACATATAACTCTGGTCACACATATTTTCGCTATTGGAAAGAAGAGTTAGGTAATTGTTTTGTGAGTACATTTTCACTGTGTAAAACAACTAATTAACTTTTCCATTAGTATCGTATCAAAATGCAAGGACTTGGTTTACAAAGTATTAAGAAAAATCCTGCAGTAAGATTAACCTTTTAAAATTAAATTTATTTAGTTATGTAATCATTTCATTTTGTAGCTGATCCCACTTTATGTCTGTGTAGCTGCTGGGGCCATTGGTGCTGTCTATTACATGGCGCGTCTAGCTACCAGAAATCCAGACGTGACATGGAACCGCTCAACGAACCCAGAGCCGTGGCAAGAGTACAAAGACAAACAATATAAGGTACCTTCTAAACTTAATGCATAAGTATACTAATACAAATGCATATGCACTGAGCGACCAACAATTTTTTTACATATGTACATATCCATATCATATGCATACAAATTGTCCATATACATACATACATTTCAAGTTTTTGGACCCATAAATGGTAATTATTGATACAAACTACGCATATTTCTTTTCAGTTTTATTCTCCTGTGAGGGACTACTCAAAAACAAAGAGTGCTGCTCCAAACTTTGAGGAATAATATCTTTAACATGTTATTAAATTCTATATGAAATCTAAATGCATTCAATGAATTAAAATTTGCAATGTCTTTATTGTAGATTTTACACATTAAACCAGGGGTCGTCACGCAGCAATCGCATGTTTGTGTGCGCAGAGTACTGACGCGAAGCCGCACGACGGCAAAAACGTTTCTTGCTGTGCACTGAAAAAAATGCGCGAAACAAAAGAAAAAATATTCAGAGAAAACATTAAAATGCTCTTCAAAAACTAAAGCATAATAAGCATATACACGGTATATGTATGTGAGCTTATGATACATGTGGAATTTTAAAATCTTTAGGGCTAATATGATCCCATTCCTGGAGCAATGCTTGCTTGAGATCATTTAGCGCATGAAACATCCGTTCTTATACATTTTTTTGGATAATATTCCCCAAAGATCTTCTATTCGGTTAAGATCCGGGCTGATCGCTGGCCATTGAAATAAGAGTATCTGCCTAGCTTGCAAAAAGTCTTTAGTTTTCCGTGCCAAGTCGATTGGCACGTTGTTTGGCTCGTTTCCAGCAACTTCAATGAGTATTGTTTCCAACAACGTTTCATACATTTCTGCATTTGTTCTGGTTGATATAAAAAAAAGTGGAGACTTCCCACCATACCCAAATTCAAACCAAACTATTAATATCCTCCACCGTGGTTTTATTTACGGCAGTGCTACCGTGGTTGCCTTTTGTCGCGCCAATACTTTTGGCAGGAGTCAGGGCCGTGCAAGGTACATTTTTTTTCATCCGAAAATATAACTAGTAAATTCCTCTGACCAAAATTTGTACTTATCAGCTAATTCTAGTCGGGTGGTTATGTGACTTCAATAACTTCGGTACAGCGGCACGGGAAGCATATGTAACCGTTTTGTTTTCGTTTTAAATTTGATTTATACGTCTTTTGAATATGTAAATCTTCAGTTGACCTATGAAATATTTATTTCTCTAAACGTATAAAAACAAATTTACTTACTTCTGATAAGAAAATTCACTTTTTTGGGTAAATATACATTAAAAAAAATTTAATACGTCGGTTTTTTCAAATAATATTAAAACTTAGAAGCTAGTTATATTGATAATAAAGTGTTTTTATTTTTTTTTTAGTTACTGTTACAAAATTAACGATTGGTGAAAATTAAGAAGTTCAGCTGAGGTTGATATATTTGGTTAACTAGTTCGAAAAAACTTGTGCAGGTTTTTTACTGCCAATAACTGATTAATGACGATATAAATGGTATTAATATATATGCAATAGAAATAGAAATAGAATAGAATAGAATAGAAATAGATTTCACCATTTATCCAACTCATTCAGCAAAAATTTTGTAAAATTTTCTTGACTAAATTTATTTTTTAAATTCGGTAGCAACCTCTAAAATATTAAACAAAAAACATGTAAACTACTATTAAATCCAAGGTAACCAAACTAGGTGGTGTCCCGTTTGAATTTCGAAAAAAAAATTGTTTGACCCAGCCTAATGTCCATCCATTATTTACGTGCTTAAACCCTTTAGGTAACCTTATTAAGGTACGTGTTTAGTCGCAGAATTATGCAAAATGAATATTAAATAATATGCGTATCTCAGGCTGAGGTATGCATCAGTCTGTCCAGGGTCCTGAATCACAAGATATTTGTAATTCACGGCGACTTTATTCAGTGCCTTTTATGGATCGGCTTGGCATCCATTTTCCCACCAATGTCTTACAGATATCTTATTTCGGAATTTTGGAAGGTTCTTACATAAAGTAACAGTAACAGTAACGGTAACAGAGGGTTGCCTAACGCAATCACCTCCCAACAAGTGTCCAATGTCCCAGGTAAGGTGATCGTTGTGCACCGGTCCGTGGGAAAGGAATTTCGTTGGAAATTCGTGAATATATTTTTAGGAATTTTTTTTGCCCCTGCGGCAACTCACATAAATATCTATAGTGATAGCCAAGCTGCGATCAAATCGCTGAATGCGATAACAACAAGCTCGGCTACCGTGGCAAACTGTCGCAAATCTCTTCATGAGATGGCTTATCAGTTCGTCATCAGCCTAATATGGGACATTGAAGGCAACTGCATAGCAGACGAGCTGGCCAGAGCTGGAACAACAATCCCCCTTCTCAATGATAAGGAGGATATTCGTATGCCAATGGCCACCTGCAAGCTCAAAATAAAAGAACATTTTTAGCGACTAATAAATGACAGATGGCAAACTGTGCCACTATGTCGCATAACTCGGCAAACATGGCCTAACATTATTAGGAAGCACACCGATGAGCTTTGCAAACTCAGTAGGAGTAGGTGCAGCTCAGTCATACGCTCCCTTACGGGACACTGGCTAATAGGCACACATGCAAACAGGCTGGGCGCCCCATATAACGACTTCTGTCGAAGCTGTAGAGATGAGGACGAGGAGGAGACTGTGGAACACCTGTTCTGCTCCTGCCCGGCTCTCAGTAGAAGGAGACTTCAATACTTGGGCGCTCCTTTTCTAACTGACATTTCGGACATGTCTACAATCAGTCCCAGACGGATCGCAGGCTTCATAAGGGCATCCGGATGGGATAATGGATAACATAGGATCTCACGAGGGAGAATGGGAATGAAACATGCGGTATCACAATGGGCCGAAACCGGCCTAGGTGTGTCGGGTCTCTGACAACCCCGACAGCCGCCTCAACCTAACCTAACCTATTTATTTAATATTATTTTAGGTGCTTATTGCGTAAACCCCCTTGTGCCGGTCTCCGATAGATTTCAGTGAGCTGCAGAACTCAACATTAATGTGAATGTTTTGCTTAGAAGAGGAGAATATCGACTTTTTTATCATAAATGATTGTACACAATTATCAATATTTCTTCTTCAATATATTGGATATTTATCGGCGTTTTAATTTGAATTAATTTTAATTTTAAATCTTTTGGAAAACGCTTTGTAAATTTTCCATCTTTTATGAAAGGCGATTAGCGATTGATATAACAGCATGAAGCCGTAAATCGGGTTTATGGTACTTATATCTAAAAGTAGTTGATCAGTAGACGGATCTGAAATTTCTGCTGAAATTACACTGTCTATTTTCTCAGGGAGTATTTTTTCGACTAACCAAATTAGAATGAGTGCATGAGGTAATCATCGCTTTTGCCATTCAACTGAATACATCCAGCATTTTGTTTGACTGAATACGTGTAATTTTTTAATGAATCTCAGTTCTTCAGTTTTCGTTTGAATACTCATGCTGTGATGTCATTACGATGCATTGAGTTTAGGCCTATTAATAGTAAAGAAGTTATATCCTGCCACTTTGGATTACATGTAAACATTACATACATTACATTACATAAATACACACGGTCGACCGCCATCCCGTAAGAAATACATAGCATCCTGTATGTATTCTTGCGTATGACGTGGATACGATGATGGTAGAATTATAGAGTTACCAATTTCACTGGGTTTGCCATGATAGCATCTCTCAAGTGAATAAATTCTTCTGCACGCAGTTTCTTTTGATTATGTTGATTAAGCGGCAGGGCGTCTCGTCGGGTTCCCACAGATCAGAATCCCGAAGTAAAAGCACAGTCCCAGTTTCTTCAATATGGTGTTTATTCAATGTAATATATCGCGTGCAAAGGAAGCCCGCCGTTTTGCTTAGGTTGTAAGAGCGAATTGATTAGTTGACTTCAAAACTGCCGGTGGCTGTCGGCAGCGAGAGCGAAGCGTGAGCGTGGTGACCGCTTGCGTAGCTGGAATGCTAACAGAGAGTTGTGGCTGGAATGCCCACTATAATGTTAGAAATCCATTGTTATATTAGAAGTACACAGAGCAAACACGACTGCTTCATTTGGTTGGTTGATTGAGAATGTTTATTGAATTTCTTCTGGTTCTTATCCTAGGGCAGGGCTCGGCAACCTTTTGAGACGGAAGTCTCAAAGTACCAATTTCCAAAATTTCTCAACTTTTAAAGAGCGACTCAAATTTTTTAATCAGAAAAGCTCCTGCTTTTACTTACTTATGCGTTTTACGTTTTCAGCCAAAAGTAATACTTTTCATTTCAAGGCGCTCCTACATTCACAAAGGTGTGGTTTATTTCTTCCTGTACTGTTCAGCCCAAAATGTACTGCTGTTATACCCATGCGTTAGTGCCAGCTCATACAAAAAGGCCTCTGCTTTATTTATCAAAGACTTATCGATAACAAAATCGTGCTTCCACAGCTATTTGCACGAATTCGCTATTTGTTGCTGCCCTGACCAGATACAATTCTAAGGTTTGTTTAAAAAAATATATTTATAAAACAAACATCAAATTTATTTGATTATTTTTCTCCTTTTGCAATTAAGATTCGATTCGTGGCAAGGAATTTGTTGCCGTTTTAAAAACGGGTATATTTTGCGAACGCGAGAGCCCCCCGGTGTGAATAGTAAATCGGAATTTTTTATACCCGTACTCAAAAAAGAGTTAAGGGGTATATTAGATTTGTGGTAAAAGTGGATGTGTGCAACGCAGAGAAGGAAACGTTTCCGACCCCATAAAGTATATATATTCTTGATCAGCATCAATAGCCGAGTCTATATAGCCATGTCCGTCTGTCCGTCCGTCTGTCCGTCTGTCCGTCCGTCCGTCTTGATGAGCGCCTGGATCTCAGAGACTATAAGAGCTAGAGAAACCAAATTTGGTTTCCAGACTCATGTGATATCACACTGCTACAAGTGTATTTCAAAATTTCGCCCCGCCCCCTTCCGCCCACACAAAGGACGAAAATCTGTGGCAGGCACAGTTTTAAGGATACGATAAAACTAAAAACGCAGTATCGTAGAAAATGCCCATATCTACCAGAGTGCCGAATCTGAATCAGATCGGATCATAATTATAGCCAGAATGAAGAAATTAATT